AGTAGCAGCCTCAGCTCCTCTAGCTTGCTAACTACAACCAAGGAGAGCATAAACCAGCTGAGCTTAACCTTACCAGAAAGCATGCCAGCAAATCCTCCCTTTTCTTACTCTGGCACTATGTGGGCAGATGAAGAGGAGGCCAGAAACACAGGCTCAGTGCCAGGTAACAGTTGCCTGTGCTAGAAAAACATTTTCTTAGGAACTTCCACATGATTCCAAATCCTGTGTGCTGGACTGATGGCACAAACAGGAATTTTGGCCTCCTTCTTCTGCAAGCTAAATATAACTACATCATCTCTAATTGCTTTAGTTTATTTTTACGCCTTTCTTGAGTTGAGACAGCAGGTTCATTAAGTAGAAAAGACTTCAGTCTTGCTCCAGGAACTCATTAAATACCTCACTGTATGAAAAGGGAGGAATGCAGGGGCCATCTGCTGGCTGCCTGGCACATCACTGCTGGCCACAACCCCAGAGTCAGACCAAGGCTGAGAAGATGGGAAAAACAAGCCAAACTCAGCTCCCACACCAGAAAAAGATGTAGCGTAGGAAATACTCTAATTTTTACAGCTGGTTTTTTTTTTTTTTAAATTTATGGTAAAATAAGAAGGGCTAAATGGTCAGTTCAGTTGCCTTCACCCAGGTATAAGTGTAGTGACTGCTTTAGTTTAGTGTCAATTGGTCACAAGGTGATTTAAAGTTACAAGATCAGGATTCAAGGAATACAGATACAGAAAAACCTCAGTTACTGCATCAAGATCACTTAACTGAAATAAGATTTAAGTTTAAGTCTAAGAATTTTACCTGACATCAAGGAGCTGAATCAAAGATATATTAATATAAAAAACACAATCCTGCCAATTTTGAGAAAGGTCATAGAATCTGCAATTTGGAAAAGACAGTGTCTGCATGATATATTTGTTAAGCTAGAATGATTGCTGCATGCTCGAATGTTTTTGTTTAGTAAGCCAGCTGTAAGGCTAAGCTGCAATAAGATGATGATTACAGTAATATAATTACTAACACAAGGTTAGCCAAAGTGATTGTGTAGCCAAGAAAAATTAGATGCCTCAGTATGAGTCAGTGCATTCATTTTCTAAATAGTTTGACTGTATGAGGTAGATAAAACAGTGTTTATAAGGTACTGGTAACAAGGTGGTTCCTAATAGCTTTGGAACTACAAGATCTTGTTCTGCCATATCACGGTACAGCAAAAAAGGTAAACAGAGCATCAAACTGTAGCCCTACTGTAAAACAGCCTTTTGTCCCAGTAATGTAAGAATTTAAGAAAACTGACATTTGTGTGGTAAATTAAATCTAAAGATGGATAAGAAGCAGCAGGGCCATGAGCACCACCCTCTGCAGCAGTTCAGCTGCCTGTGTTCAAGGCCAGTTCTGACACAGCACAGCTGGGTAACTTCTGATGCTGCTGCTGCTGCAAGAAACAAAACCTGCATGAAGCCTCCGCTGAGCCACTCTCTCTTTGCTTTTGAGCTGTGTTTAAGCTGAGACACTTACTTGTCCTTGACCCAGCTACACTGCAGGTACACCTGTGCCTGGCCATATGCTTCACTCATCTAACTCTGCCCCTAATTCACCAATCCGGCTTTGCTGCCTTGCTCTTGGACCTGCCTCATCATTGCAGAGTAAGCAGCTGGTCACCCTCACTGGACCTGATCTGCTCCTCTGGACACTGCACTCCTTGATAGTGAGGTCCCCATCCCTACCTGCCTCGCTGTCACCTTTAGCTCCTGGTGCACTTTCCCTTACACAGCAACCTGCTTGTGTTGCTCCCTAACAATAAAATAAATAGATAGATCAGATTTGAGCCAGGCAAAAGCAATTATTATTACTTGCATCCTACCAACATGTCAATATAATATGGAAATCAACATCAGTACTAAGCTACTCTATCATAATAGACAAGATCCATTAAATGACAGGCCAAAACCATTGTAACACTATAACACAATGGAAAGAACAGCAATAATAGCAGGGTAGCAAAATCTTTGGCTGCAGCAAATGAGGATAAGCCCAAGCGCAGCAACTGTGGGCACAGACATAAAGGAAACAGTCAGCTTACCCTAAGAAAGCTTCAGGTAGGCAGGGATCTCCAGCAAATATCTTCACCTCCACTGCCAACCCTTAAACGAGGGCTGGAAAGGTGGGGATCCTGGCCCCAGCCCTTCCAGTCACTCAATACATTGCATGCACCTGAGCTCCCTTGGGTTGGCCCTGTCTCCCCCCCAGGTGCTCAATCACTGCTTTAAGTCTTGACTTAACATCTCCACTACACCCATTTTCTCTTTACACCTTCCACGTAACTGCTTCACACACTGCACAACATTCCTTCTCTATCTCCCTTGTAAACAACACTCAGCTCAAACACTTGACCAAAACCTTCATGTTACTTTAAGCTATTAATTCAACCTGACCTCACAGCACAGATTACGTCAGTGCTGGCTTTCAGCAAAACAGCAGATGCTTAAATCAGCTCTGAACTGGATCTAAAGGTTAAAATGTGGCTAAGGGTCTGTTTTCAGAAGAAAGCTACTTATGTCAGCCTTAAGTTTCAGTGAAAGTTGTGGTGAGGGCAGAATAAGCAAATAAATAAATTAGACTCCACCATGCATTTTTGAAAATAAGATTTGGGTCAGATTGCATGAGCAGCCTGCATTTCTTGGTATCTGAATGACAGGTAGAATTCAGAGAATGAAACTGCCAATTTTCATGGGAACTGGATACTTGCTTGTCTTGAAAATGCAAAAATGCCACTGCATATCAGCCCCCTCTTTAGATGCTGAAAGACCCTGAAAGTTAACTCTTGCTATCTCAAGTCACCCGTGCAGCTTTGAAAGTGTTCTTTGCAAACCCGATCCTTGCTTATATTAGTGCATCCTACAGAGTGCAGAGGACTGCAGAGCCTGACTGAACTAGGTTAAAAACCAGCAATATTAAATCTGAATTTCACTGCTTTTACATTTTAGACAAGAACTCTAATGTAACTATAATGCAGCCTTTATTCTGTATTTTTTCACATTTCTTTCCGAGCGCCTCAGCTCCACTAATTACAGACTTTCTAAACTTCCTCTCAGATTATTATTCAATTATTTATGTACATTAAAAATGGTCAGAGGAATTCTGGAAACTATGACAAGTGTTCCAGATCTGAACATCTATCATTGCCAAAACAAAGGACTTCGAAAACAAGTTTCAAAGCATGCTACTTTGTCAAACATTTTTGCTTCTTCTTTGGGTGTACATGTTTATATATAGATATTAGATATTTTCACTGAGAGAAGCAGCTGCCAAATTACAGCTTCTTTAGTTTTAAGTGTCAAAACATTCAAGTTTTTCTGCCTTTCTGTGTACAGCTGAGGAAAAAAAAAAAACAACAGAGAAACCTGTTCTAACTCAAAGATAAAAAAGGCTGCTGTCAAGACAAATTTCAAGTAATCTTATAAATGACTCGCATTTGATGGATGATGCTGATCCATTTTTCATTCTTAATTTTAATAATGAATATTGCTGAAGAAGAAATAAGAGCAAAGACACAGTAAAAAATAGCTGCAGTAAAAATGATGGGTTGCAGTGCTTTTGTATCCATCAACAGTGCCTCGTAGGTTTGGGCACGTTTCCTCCACGCGCTCTGACCATTGCTGTAGGGACCAGCCAGCAGTCGGGCCGCACCGATTAGCTTATGATGCTGCCTTGACCGACTGGCAGTAATATGGTTAAAGCTATGAGGGGTACATCTGCACTGTGATTCATTTACAGGGAGACTACAGGGTAGGTGCACCCTGAGCTGCACTCGAGAGAAGCTGCAGTACCAGGTCTTTATCTTCATTTCATTGGCGTCAGTGCAGCAAATATGGGAAACGATCAAGATGCAGAACAATCCCGTAATCGCTCGGTACGCTGCAAGCAATGAGTTAGCAAAGCTCAAGAACATCTCTGATGAGAAAGTGCCTGCATCTTAATGAGGGCTAACTGGAATCTGGAAGCACCTCCCAGCAGACTGAGAAAGATGCAACTCCGAGGGCTGGGTTCACAACCTCTGCAGCCTTCAGAACAGGGACTGAAGGTGTTAAGAGAACAGAGCCCTGTGCCGTGCACTGTCCATTCCAGAGCAGCTCGATACAGGAGGAATTCACCTGCTACTTTGTTGGTCCTGTACTTCTTGACAGCAACTAATCCAACATAAAAAGTGAGCTCTTAATCTGCAGAAATGAAGCATTCAATTCATTAAAAACCAAGCACAGCTGAATAGTCCAGCCCTGAGCTTAGGTCACACTGTATCAGTGCTGTTGGTCCAGATAAGTCCTTACGGTGCACCTGTGGACAAACTGTGCAGCCTATCTTCTCTTACATTCTCTGCTCACTGTAATCAGTGCAAGGATGAAGTAGGATTACACATACAAACCTTCTCTGAAGGAACCCTGCTCTGTTCCCTGAGCCACGTTTTAGGAAAAAAACAGGATAATTTCATGTTCCCCTAATCAGGGCTCCAGCCAAAAGCCAGATTTATTATTCAAATCACAATCCTCAATGAGAGTTTATTTAAAAATGCCCACAGAAGAGAAGTACAAAGCTGCTAGACAGTACTCAGCATAGGCTTTGTTTCAGAAGTACAACAGTGAAAACATATTTTTCTAAAAAGTTATGAAAGATCATGTGTGAAAGTCTGGCTCCAGCGAAGGAAATGTCCCTGAGCCTGGTGACTTCAGCAAGCCAGGACTCCTGCCATGCCCTCATTCACCAAGCCTGGTGGGCAGCTATGCAAGGAGCACACTTCATACAGGAGAGATGAAAGAAATGTCACTAACATGAGAGAAGAGCTGTAGGACTGCTTGTCCACCCAGATAATGCTGCTCCACAAAAAACAAAACAACATCCCACAGATTTTAAATAGTGCAACAACAGTGACTTCTTGCTTCTAGGACCACATCTAATTTGGCCAGGAAGTCACTCTGAAAGGGACAGGCCTATGCTGAACTACTAACCATGTGGAACAGAACAGGTGCTTTCTCTGCCATGGGCTGCTTTCCAGAAACTGACTGAGGCTGCCATCTCTCCAGCTGCTCCTGGAATCTGCATCTCACGTGTTTCTCTTTCATCTGTTCTTCCTTTTGGGATAGCTTTCTGTTACTGTCTTCTGTCCTGAAAAATATACAGATACTTCTTTGCTTTAACTTTTTACTTGGGAGAAAGACACCCTTGTTCTCCCGTTTACATTTTTTTCCCTTATATTTATACCATACACTTGAGGGTGAATCATGATTTGAAAGGCTAGAATAGTCTTAAAAAGCACTTATGGTGTTGGAGGTAGAGGACCACAAGAAATTGTCATCGCTTAAACTGTCTATGTAAAAATAGCAAAGGAAAAGAGCAGACCTCAAACCTCTGATAAGTGGTGACAACTGGCTGGATACCAAAACATGCCAGTTAGCAGAGGCTTGTTCAAGATTTCACTCCCTTTCCCCTCACCAAAATAGTTTTCTAACTCTGTTTCCTTTTCTATGTGCTAAACAGTGACAAGTTTTCCCCAAAGCAAGACCTGCCTTTCTGTATTTTGATGTCTGCAGCAAGATTTCATCTGCCATTTCCACAGCAAACACTAAGTTCAATTTCTTCACAAGCTTGCAAGCCTCAGGTACCCAATGATTATAAGAAAGAAAACTGAAATTTGCTAAAACCATCCTGATGTTTTACTCAGCAACAGCTTGCCAAGCCACATCTATGTGGCAGGCTAACAGGCAGACAAAATGGTATTTTACAGAACTGATAGCAGCATTGAGCTTTAATATCAGGAATCACTTGATAAAACAACCCACAGTGAACCACATGCCATTTAAACCAAGTACATGTTGGCTGTAGTGTTTCAGTGGTAGGTAGGCAACTGATAAACACTGAAAAAGTAAGGCTCTGGAGCAGGCAGATTATAATCTTTTTCCAAGGGCTTGTGAGCCATATCAAAATATTAAGTGTCATGCTGAAAACAGTGGGCACAATATAACTCAGCATAAAGGAGATCTCCCAGATAGATGGGCAGGTACACAAGTCGGCCACCTGATCTCGGTTTGAAATGAGACTTCAGGTTGAATGCACTTCACTGAGCCTGGGGAATAACTGGAAAAGCTCTCTGATTGCCTCAATTGTTACTGTTTCTCCTTTTTAGCTTTCTGGAGAGCTCCTGTGGTATAACCAGCTCCTCGTGGTTACACTTTGCTCTCTGAGTTCTTTCCCTTCTTTCCTTCATGACAGTTAGATTGCTTTTTTCGGGGGAAATGAAGATACAGGGAGACACTATACAACTTCCAGTTTGTACAGGTATTTTTTATGCCAAGAAAGGGAATAAGTTATTTTCCATGTTATCAGGAATGCAAGAAGTAATAAAGTTAAATTGAAGCTAGGATAATTTAAATTGGATGAACTGCTAGCTTTCAAACTGTAAGAATAATCAAGCAGTGAAATGTACTACCTGGGGAGTCAGGGAATCCTCACCATTGAAGATTTTGAGATTAGGTTGCATAAAGATCAGGAAGAAAGGATTAGATTGTAGCTCAGCTTACACTGATACAGAGGAATAGACAATTCCAGATCCATTTTCTATGATACTTTCTGTGGTAAATCTGTTTTATCCTTAACAATGCAGATCAATGCTGTTATCCTCCTTTTATCTAGGTTCAAAACCTAGAGGATGTGGTCAAACTTACTAGGTCTAATCTCAGTCCAATTCTCTGATCTACTAAGTCTGTCTGCATCCACAATGTTCTACAACAGCTGCCAGGCTTAGCTGACTTCCTAGGTAAGAAAACCAGACAACCTTTCGCTCCAACTCGCATCCCATGCAAGTAGTGTTCTTTAATCTCACACAATTTGATAAGCCATAATGAAAATCACTGGTGACTTTTCTTGTGTGATACCTTGGAAATTCTTTTGTACGTAGAGAAGATTCTGAAGCATTTCCTGAATGTTGAACCTTCTCAGCTTTCATTATATTTCTTGTTCCTATATCAGTTCCATTGTCTCTCTGGCTTGACGAGGAAGAATTTCTTTTCTCTGGCTCCAGCCTCACCAGTTTCCTGGTAATGACCTCATTCATCCCTTCTCTCACTTTAAAATTTTGATTTTGACTGACTTTAAAGGCATCCATCTCTTCCAGACTTTCTGGATGCTGTTTTGTGCCCTTGAATCTTCCAGCTGGGGCAGATGCTTTGTGAAGAACCTCTGAGGCCTCTTTATGGGCTCCATGGAGTTGTTGCAGTAGCTGACATTTCCCTGACCAATTCTTCCTGCTAATAAAATAAAGATTTCATCAACATAGAGCATTTTAAAAAAAAGCCCACACTGAAGAATTTCTCATTAAAACAAGGATGGGTTATCAACACAGATAACAGTCTTTGATAGCAGTACCAGCACATAAACAACAAACAAGACAGTGACAGAACATGATCTGATCTTATTGGGAATTTGTTTCCCTCCTCTGGATTACAGTCAGTAGAGAATTAGTATAAGAGCCCTGAACAAAAGGCATGTCAGCATGGAAATCAGTGTCTGCAAATTTCTGTCCTCTTGGGATCTGAGCATTGGAACACAAACACACATACAGGAAGAGTCCATCTAATAACTCACTGCATTTTGAGGTGTTTAGCTTCATTTCACCTGTGTCTCCTCCCAGTCCAAGGGGCTGTTGAGCTGTTAGTAGTACAATACTGTGATTGTTCTCCCATGTGAAGTGCCCTATCATGACAGGGTAAGCAGATAGGGCTCTTCTGCCTTGTAGCTCTGTTCAGCAATGAGGCTCCCAAGTTATCTACTACAAAACTGCCACCAATTTGCAGCTACTCCTAAGTAGCAGCTGATAAGAACAAAGAAAATCCAGAAAGCACTTTTTCTCATTAAGAAACTCATTTCTCCAGCCACTGTATCAACATTTAACATTGACAGCTGCAGCATTAAAGAGCATTAAAGATTCCTAAGTAATACAGGTACATTAACCCCTTCCCACTGGATACCAAGGTCAGTGGAAGAGAATTGGTCATGGCATCAAGTCTTCTGGAGTTCAAGTTTTGCACAGTGTATGGGGCTTTGCTTAATTGCCTCCCAAGTTAAACCACAATAGTTTGGACAACATTCTCAGAAGTATGGTTTGATATTTGGGTGGTCCTGTACAAAGCCAAGACTTGGACTTGACGATTCCTCCCTTCCAACTCAGACATTCTGTGGGTAGTACAACATTCCCTGCATTTACAAGACAAAGAACTCAGATCCTGAGCTGTGAGTGGAATTCATCTGCACAGGTGTGGGCTGCTAGTGATTACTTTCCTGCTGGTTTTTTTTTCTCCTTCCTGAATCTAGAAGAATGTCCTGAAACAGTCAGAGTTGCAGGTTAACACCAACCTCAGGCCTTCGAGCTCTACCACAGAGTAAGTCAGACAAGAACAGAGCAGGTGAGAAAGAAAGAAGGATTCTACCAACACATCTGTAAGCTCCTGAGTGTTACTGACCTTTGTTTCTAGTAAGAAAACCAAATTTGCCTTGTGCTCTCCTGCCTGCTTTAGTAGAGTCAGAAAATAAAGCAGGAATTTTAGGATGGAAGCATGTATTGGACAACAGCCTTACAGCATAGTGCTAGGGATGGCACTGATCATCTGATCACTCGGGATAAATTAACAGTGGTTTTCTATGCTAAGAAGTGCCCAGCTATCATCACTCTCTACTTAAGGCCCTAACATGGAAGCACATTGTGCTACAGAATGTGCAGCTCTGTTTAATAGCTCCATCCAGGTAAGATGGAAAATGGCACCGAACTCACATTAAGGAGATTAGCATCTCACCCTTCTGAGATGAGGCTTTCTTATTTAGAAACAGAACTGAATGTTTGCCATGTGTTTCACGTGTATTTACTTCAGCAACTTTAAAACAGATAAAAATGCACTCAGCTAAGCTCTGCTCTCCATCACTCCACATTTACTGATGTAACTCCTGCATTTGCGTCAGTGCCAGCAAGAGTTCCCCAAGCAATCTCTCATCCCTGCTTTATGCTGGTTTGGGATTAGATGTTACAAATTATGCTGAGTAGCTGGCTTTGTTCCTTGTCGAATCATTTGTTCTTTCAGACTACTTAAAAACAAAGGCAAAACAATACAGAATGTTCCTCTTTGCCCACTGCACTGCTGAAATGTGAACTTCCATGCATCAGGCTTCTAAATATAACACAGGATAAAAGCAGTCAGATACTTAAGATCCGACATACCTACTTCACGTTAAATGGATGAATAACCACCTATGAGTATGAATCAAGGCCTGAATTTAGTAACAGGAAAGGCCTGGCATCTATGCCTATTGAAGAATCTACAGTGCAGGATACCATAACCGTACATAAGAACGCATGTAAGAACAATTAAGGGGAGCTGTGAGCATCCCTGCCCACACAATGTATTCAATGCTTAAACCAACATTCCAGCTTACTTTATTATTTCTAAAAATAAAGGTGTGACTGAGTCAATTCCCTACAGCATTTTGAAAGTAGGGTTTTGAGTCTTTTGAAATTTAAAACAGCTCTCACAGCACTCAAACCTGCCTGTAGAAAGAGCCAGGTTTCCCAGCCACTCATGTCTACTTTCTTTAAAGTGTTGTCACACAGCTGTAAAGAGGCAAGGTGCCACACGGCCTCAAACACTGACAGTTGGTGTCTAACTTCAGTATTTTCAGCATGCAAGAGAACTCTGGGTCCAGGCTGAAACACTTCTGTTATTAGGCTGGACACTTCTGATGTAAATACAAGAAACAGAGATACTTTCATGTGTGAGCTCTCACTCTAATCACTGTTAAAGGAATAATTTTAATTTCAGAAGAAGTTAATTATCACATCACTTGAATTACGGTCAAGGTAAAGAATCTTACATTTTCCTCTCTTCTTGGTCCATAACAGTCACAGTCTCATCTTCATCAGTGGAGCTGTCACCTGCACTATGAAATAAATTGGACAGTGTTCAAACTGAGCATTGACTTGTGGTCATTTCCAAGATTCAAGTTTTAGGGCCATCAGGAAAAAGAGGAGAGACTTTTTGGGCAGATCTCTAGGCCTTATTGATAGTTTCTAATGTTATTATTCCAGAAAAAATTCAAGCACCCCTAGGTCATTTGTTAGCTGCACTTTGCTCTTTATTAAAGAGGGTTCTCATAAACATGCATCCTGAAAAGGGAGCAGAGCTATCTCAGGCACCTCCACCTCTAAGAAGAGACACCTTTGCTAGAATCTGTTGCAGATTGAGGTGAATTTGGTTTCCAAGAACTGACTATATAGGGCCTCCTTATCACATGGGAGACTGAGATATCAGCACCAACAGCTGCTTGCCATGAACATAGTCAAGCAAAACCATTCCATAATCAAAGCTGTCGGAATGCTAGCTCAATTCCAACCAACAGCTGCAAGCATTGCCTTGCAGTCACTGCTCACTTCTTCAGAGAATGGAAAACTTTCTAAGTGTTATTCCCTGGACAGTTTGCATGTCTTTTCTGTGTTTGTCTCCTTTCCTGCACCTACTTGTCCTGAGAAAAGTTATTCCTCTCTTCAGAGTACTTGCATGCTCTGCTATGGGTTATGCTTTCCTACTAAGGTCATAGAAGTTTAATTAAAGTTACATTTCACAAGAATGAAGCCTTCTGTCTGCATCTCAATTCTCCACTGATTGCTGCTGACCTCTCACTACTAACAAAGCCAGAATTTACCTCTGTTTCTCATCAGGGAACGTTACCAACTTCTGTGGTTCAGCATCTGTTAAATCCATGTACACAGTTTGAGGCTCTGGCAGGCACTGCAATCTCACTGCGTCCATCCTCAGAGAACTTGGTGAAGATGAGAGGAAGGCAACATCCCTAAGTACAGAAAACACTGTTTCAGCATTTCCTGCACCTTATCAACACAAGATGTCCTGCGGGGCAAGGATTACAATAAAAATTGGATTGTGAAAGGAGCTTAATGCTCAGCTACTGCAGTCTCTTATTTTGCCTACTATCCATCACCTTCCAGAACTGAACTGTAAGATTCAGGCTCCCCTAGGAATACAGATCACTGGCAGCATGATGAGGGATATTTTGTTCTTAAAAGCCAACATCATAAAACTACTCTGTAGAACAAAGGCAGACAGTTACAGTACCAAAGAACTTATGAGTCTGAAAAGAGCCCAGCACAAATCAGCAAAAACAGGCCCCTTTTTCCTCTCTGCCTCCTTTGGCAATCCCATCTTATCCTTTGGAGCATAAAGAAAATGCAAATCACCTTCATGGCTTCCCCTGCTCTGGCAGCAAGGATGCTTTTCACCTTTCACTTAATAGGCTTGTTCCGCTGTTACTTCCTGTTGTAACAATCAGAAGGATCAATGCGGTGGAATGGTGACAGAGGAAGTGTAATAACTAAGGGCAGGAGGAGTGCTCACCCATCTCTGAACATCTAGGCTCACAGGGAAAAGTCCACAAGGAAAGGATCTCCAACCAGAGATCCTTCTCCAGGGTCAGTCAGCCCTTAAATGAGGTCTAAGAGGTGCAGCCAGGCTCCACTCCTTCCCCTCACACAGCTGAATTGCCTCCACTTGTGCTCCCAGGGCTGACCAGGTCCTTTCCCCAGGTGCTCAATCTGCAATTCAGGCTTTGACTCAGTAGGTCCCATACACCTCTGTACCACTACCAGTGATTTTGAGCAGTCTGGAAACCACTTTCCTTCACAAAGGACCCTGCAAAACACATTGACATCTAAATGAATACCTTAAAAGAGAAAAAAGGCATCTCACACTTCAGCTAGATTGGGAGCAGCAAAAGAAACTTCAAACCCTAGAAGTATCAAAGCTACAAAAAACACAGCCATGACCATTTGCTCAGCTTTGCTCCCCTGATTTCCTCAAGCGTGTCTGCTAAGATGTAGAGAAAACTCACGTTTGGTGGAGAATGCTAAGGTAGCAGGATACTGACTGTTAATGATCAAGCATATGTGAATGACCAAGACCTACTTCCTCCTTTAACACCGCTGTAGCATATTCCAGCCACAACATGAGCTTTTACTGCTAATGACTACCTACTGCATATGACAACTGGAGGGAAGGACCTACTTCTTGTTCTCTTGTTCTTCTTGAATGGAGATTTTGGCTGATGGCCACCTGCAGCGTGAAGACAGTGTCCTGGATTGCCTGTCACACAGCTCTTCTAATTTTTCCATGAGCTGCTTTTCAGATCTACCTCTGAAGGTCTCTATAGGAGAACAGCAAAAAAAAATAATCATTTGTGGTCTTCTGCCATTGAACTGCCCAACATACCCTTTCACCATTGTACCTTTCTCTACAGCCAGAGAGAAGGGAAAGGATAAAGACACCACTGTCATCCAGCTCTGACTAAACACACTGCAAACTTTTATCTGCCTTGCCCTGGGCCATTGCAGGCCACAGAGCACTGATTTCAAACCACAAAAGCAAGACCCAGAGGAAGCTTTGTGTTCTAAAGAAACTGTCAAAAAACCCACCACCACTATCACCTCCACATCCAAGATGACGTAGCAGGGAACGAGAAATATACAAAACTGAGTGTTACTTGTTTTTACATATTTTCAGTGTAGTTGGTATTAGTTGAACAGCATTACCATAATCTGTTGAGGAGAAGGCAATTTCTGCATGAGTGTTATGTGTATTTTTCTGCTGCTTCAGCTCTGCAGAAGTCTTGTCTAGATCCCAGTTCTCGATATTCTGAAAGACAACCAGACTGCGATGGAAAAATCACCATCAAAAGGCTGCTACAAAATAGAAGCTCCTTTAATTCAACTCTTGGTGCTAATCTGCTTGGCTATTCTGCCATACATAAACACACTAAATACAGAAGTGTAACACTATAATGGGATGATAATAGTGGCAAAGTCCTTGGCTACAGCAAATGAGGAGGAGCCCAAATGCAGCAGCCATAGACACAGAAACGAAGGAAAGGAGCTGCATGTCTTTGGAAGGCCTCAGGTAGGCAGAGATTTCCAGCAGGAGGTGCCCTCATCTCCACTGCCAGCCCTTAAATGAGGGCTGGGAAGGGGAGGTTCCTGGCTCCAGCCCTTCTGGTTACTCAGTGCATTGCATGCCCTTGAGCTCCCCTGGGCTGGCCCTGCCTTCCCACCAGGTGCTCCATCACTGCTTCAAGCTGTGACTTAGCATTTCCACAAGCAACACATAAGTTCATTATATAATACAAACATTAAGGAAGAAATGAATAATTCAAGTGAATTGATATTACCATAGTGCTACAGAAGAGACAAGATGCTGGAAGGCCAAAAAGCTCATTGTTTTAACTAACAAAATACATCCCTGCTTTCCTAGGGACAGATGCCATGGTTGGTGTTTGTGAATAAGATCACTAACCATGCTACTGAGCAACAACTTCTGCTACCATTATGGACACACAGTGGCATCCCCATGAGACAAAGACAGCTTCTTGGTAGGTTGCACAGCACGTGATCCAAGAAAACCCAGATTCAGGACATCAACAAAAGCAACAAAGTAAAATGGTTTCATGTGCAGAGTCTGGCATTTTGGTTTCTTATTTTAGCAGGATTCTCGAAGCAATACAGCAGCTTCTCTACTGAATGAGCAGCACTCCATGAAAGTGTTTGGGCCACCTACCTGCAGTGACAGATGGGTTAGTTCCTGAAGATGGCCAGCTGCAGAAGTTTCTTCTTTAGCACTTCTTTCCAGACTTCTGCTCATGCCATGTGAGGGAGGATTATTATTTAGCTCAGGGTGGCCTGGTGATGGCTCTAGAAATATTTTTGAGAGTATCTTTGTCTCTATCAGCTTTCTTCTCTCTTTTTTACTGCACAGTTCCTCCAATAACAATGATATATTAAGGCAAGAGTTCCCTTTTTCCCTGGCTTGTTGCCTTCCTGGTTCTTCCTCTTCAAGGCCATCTGTGGAATCTGCAAGAGACTCTTCAAGAACAGCTTCCATTTGGCTTGGAATTTCTTCAGTATGGCTGGAAAGATTGGAAGCCTCATCTTTAATCACTTGAACATATTCTTTTGAAATGACTTGAGCACCATCTGTTTGTTCCTGATGGCCAAGACTCTTCAGATCTCCATTCCATTTCTTTTCCTGTGTTTTCTACCAATAAAGGAAATATATACATGCAAAAAGTTACATCTCCTGAGCTATAGGAGCTGACAGGAAACCAAAACAAATGATTGGCAGATAGCAGCTCTAGCTCAGTCACCATCTGGTAACAGCACAAACCACATCCACCACAGAGAGCAGTAAGACCTCACTTTGCAAAGACTACAGCTTTAGGATGTGCTAAAAAACATTCTTGACATTTATTAGCCCTCTATCTGCTCACCATACAACATTTCTTACACTGAGATTAATGAATGGGGAAAAGCAGCACAGTAAGTTGGCCTTCCCATGATGAAATGGGTTTAGATGGCTTCTCTTATAACTTCTTATGACGGCTAGTCTTCATCACTGCAGATGTAATGTAAACATTTTATCTCAGAATAGCAGTACAAGAGATAAGCTTCATACTGATCCTCATTAATATACTGCCATAGTAATTCTTTTTCTGCATACACAAAGTAATGGCTGAAACTATTTCAAACCCTCAGAAACTTAGAAGCCACGGCAGTGCTTCTGTGAATGCACAAACTGAGGGTAGAACTCCTCAGCAGCTGAGCTGCAGGTAATTTTCCAGTACTGAGCTTATTACAGAAAGGTTCATAAAGTCAGTGAGCAGCGTCTTCCTTCAGGACTTGGTGTTATTGTCAGCCTACAAGTATTTGTATGATCTTTCTGACTAGAAATTGGTGATTTGTATCTCAGTGTGCACTTGTTATTACACAAAAGGGAGATACCTTTCCCCTTTTTATTATGTACAATATTCAGAACAAGATTTATTAGATTTAGAAGCAACTGAAAAATTCCTTGAGAGACAGGACTATGAGCAAAGAAAAGGCTAGTTAGCATTTTAATAAAAGAGGGCATCTGTGTCAGCTGGAGCTAAGGCGTGTCATTGTCTCAAAAATGTAAAAGGAAAACAAAACTAACAGATGATAGCATGAAGAAAAGATCTAAAAAACGACAGCTTAAAAGGGTCACTAAAGGGAGAAGATCTAACTTCTGATGGGAGAAAGTACTGGACTCCATGCTCTTCTGTCACAGCACTCAGTCAAACTGGTCAGATTAAAGCAGCTGTTTGTATTGGAAACGGATGGAAGGGTGGGTTTACAGCAATACAGCCTGCACACAACGGTCACAACCTGCACGTCTGAGTCTTCCAGGGAAAATTCCAGTAGCTCATCTGACAGGTCAGGAATTAAGTTGGGTTGCTCTCGCTGGAAGATGAAAAGCTCCCCATCACTGTCACAGTCAGACTATCAACGACAAAAAAAAAAGAGAAGTTAAATGAAAACCTGTAATGTGACTTTCACCATTTTGTGGTGACAAACTCCATGTTGTCACCACTTGACTGAAGTTCAGAAACCAGTTTTCTTTTCAGTTACACCTTCATCAGGCAGCCCGATAGCCCAACGCTCCGGCTGCTTTACACTGACCTAACATCTGAGCAAACTACAGCAGTAGTTTACACCCAACAAATTAAAAAAAAAAAAACCAACAAACAAAAACACATCAGATGCGAAATTGCTGCACTCAGTTGGGCAGAATTTAAATAGCTTTGGAAAAAAAAAACCCTTATCTGAACCTAAGACAGGTGTTTGAGATTAATTGTTTTGCACAGGCAACAAAAAGAGAATAAGCAGCTTCTCAGAAGCCAGGACCCAGCTTCCAGGCTTATCTAAGTATGCATTTTCAATAGCTCACACTTTGGAGAACTCCCTCTGGCATAATTATTTTTCCTAACTCGGAGGAAATTCCAGTGCAACTTCTTTCCTTTTAATAAAATGCATTTCAGGACAATGAAAGTACTTCAAAACGTGCTGTTTGTCAGCACCTCCTCTCAATGTAGCAGCACAGCCCATAGGGGTACAGATCTCAGATGCATCTTCCCACAAGTGGAAACCTTTGGGACAAAGGTGCAGCTCTGAAGCCACAGGCTCAGCAAGCTACTGTTGTACAGTAAGCAGGAGAGGGATCACACAAGCAGACCTTCTGAATGCAAATTAAAGGTAGCACGTAAGTGCCAAGCAGACTGCTGCAGTTCCTTCAGCAGGAAATTTGTTCCACATGTGACAGAAGAATTTGGATGTTATTTATGAGTAAAAGAAAAAAAAAGGATTCAACATGACTTAGAGTTATAAATTATTTGGCACAAAGATACAAAACGATCACTTTGTCAGAACTTTTTTTGTACGCCTATAGAACAAGAATGACCAGAAATCATCCCTGAGTGCTGGCCCTAAATTTATACTGCATAAACACATATTAAAAAGCCACGGTTGCTTTAAGTAACTAAAATAGAATTTTCACCAGATTGTTGAGTCCTGTGAGCAGAGATCTTTAGCTGTCAGCAGGCAGCCTGTCCCAGCCATTAGGACCCAGCAAGTAATAAAACAGCACGGTGAAAAATGCCTCACAGTTTCTATAAATCTCATGCTTTCTATTAAAAGGTTAACAGCATTATATTTCTTTGCAGATGGAATTAAAGAACAGAAATCAACAGTTGGCTACAGGCAGGGAAAGAAGTAGAAACCAGGGATCAAATACCTGCCAAATGCTTTTTCAGTGGACCACGAAGACTTCAGGAATACAACTGAAACCCTCAACTATAGAAAACCATGCTAACAGCCTACTGTCTGGACAGCACATTACTAGCCTAAATAGCACAATATTATCCAGGATAAAATCTTAGCATTTGATTTTAAGTCAGCTGTATGATTTTTTTCATGCTGTATTTTTGACCAAACAAGCTAAGAAAAAAATGTGTGGTCATTCTGCAAGATGCCCACTACCCATCTCTTCCTAACCTGGCATTATTTAGCACCTGGAAAAATCAGTCCCACCTTCAATTCCAAAGAATACAGTGAGAAAAGATGGTCATTATGCTTTGACTATTAGAGGTAAAATAAAAGGTTGTGGATTAATATACACACAACAACAGTCAGAATAAACAAGTACATAGAATCATAGTTGTAGAATCCTTGGAGTTGGAATGGACCTCTGAAGGCCATCTCGTCCAACTCCATGCGATGAACAGGGATTTTTTTCTAAAAGCCAGTGAGAAAGACAGTCAGGTTGCAGCGCTTACTGTAGAAGTGTCAGAGTCCAGAGATGGGAGCTGATCTTTCACTGCAGCAAGTATATCTCCCCATCGAAACCTGCTGTTACTCCCAATAGGAGCCGTAGGAAGCTCAGATGGACACTCAGCATCCTCACTTTGCCCTTCTGAGGCCATTTAAACATCCAACCTTCCACCAAATGAAAGCACACCTCAAGAGAGAAAAGGATAACATCAGTACAGAGCAAGAACAAAGCGTGTGCACTCAGGGTCAATGTAACCCTCAGTGCTCCCATGGTAGGACTGTGATTCCTTTGGGAAGGCCATTCTCACAGCTGCCCTGGCAGGGAGGGCTGCCCACCCCCAGCTGTTCCTTACTTCCCTGTTTCTCTCACATTCCCATCCTCACAGATCAAATGATAGATAAAGTGGTTTATGCTGGCTTTTTTCACTGCATTTGTATCAACACAGTTGAGACCAGATAATCTATTAGATTTTGACCTCTTACAATACATTTAAGCTTCCTCTTCACGTTTCCTTCTCATGTGTCAGAGCAACCAGGACAGCTCAACAGGGCACTACTGCTGTTCCAACAAGTCAGAAAATTAACCCGCTCGTAAAAGCTTCACTTTTCTAATTTTGTTGCCACAGTTGTGTGGTTTCTAGGTCATCAAAATTGGGCGCGCATCAGTACCGTTCCTAAGAAAGGCGGGCAGCTTCGGGGCGTTACCCCACCCAGAACCAACAGCTGCCAAGATGGCGGCGAGCGCTGCGCACGCGCACTTCAGCCGGCGCCTGCGTTGCCATAGCAACACGAGCAGCGCGGCCCGGCCCCCCTGCCCTCACAGCGGCCCTTGGGCGCCTCTGAGCGGCGCAGCGTACGTCCCGGCCCCTACAGCGGGGCGAGGTGAAGAAAAGCAGCTGATAAACGGAGAACACACGGCGGCAGCACAGCACAGCTCCGCGCCCAGCTGGGGCTGCTTTCCCCTACCTCAGCCACCGCCAGGCAGTGGAACGCCTACTGCAAGCGCCCGCCCTGCCGCAGCGCTCGAATCCCATTGGCTATTCGACAGCCCGCCCCTTGCGAGCGGCATCACTTATTGGCCCGCTGCCGCGGGGGGCGGGGCTTAGCTCTTCCGCCAGTTGGGACTCACAGTACCTAGCGGGCGGCGGGACGGAAGTTCCCAGTATTCTTTGCGCGCGTTTCCGGTAGTGGAGCCCACCGGGCGTGCAGGTGAGGTTCGCGGCGCGTTGTGTCACCGCGCGGGGTCCGGCTGTCTGCAGCGGTCTGCTCGGCCAGCGCTGCGCCGCCCGGAGCCTCGGTGGGTCCCGCAGCAGAGTGGTCAGAGCGTTTCGCCCTGTCATGCCGACCCGCGGTGGGTGTAGGCCTGGCCTGCCCTCCTGGGGCCTGAGAGCCCCTGAGGTTTTAATGCTGCTCTTCCAGCTCTTTTCTCTAACGTCGCTTCTTGGAGTTATCCTTCCGAGAGGGATGCTAAGGTGCTAATCACTGCAGACTTCACGACAGTTCTTACTGTTTCTTTCTTTCTTCCTGCATTCTGGTTTTCTCTGCACCCTGAGGACAGGGCTCTGTGGTGGCTGCCTGCTCTGAGGTTCAGCGCAGCGGGGTTCTGATCTTGGTGAGTCCATAAGTGATGATGCACTGAAATATGAAGTCTGGCTCATGGAGCTGAGGAAGGCTTCCAATGGATGTCAAATGAATTGCTTTGCCATGATGTGAGAATTGTCTGTAAATGTTCCCGAGGTGTTGACCTAGTGTGGCAGGTGGGATGTGACATCTAGCTTATTTTTAACCGTCAGATCTTTAGTGGTAACCCATCCAAGTACTTCTGTGTATGGGAACTGAGTCATGGCCTGAACCACTCATTGAGCACATGGGGAAAGGACCTGGGAGTGCAGGTGGAGGCAATTTAGCTGTGAGACTGGAAGGAGTGGAGTCTGGGTGCATCTCTATTAGACTTCATCTAAGGACTGATTGCCACTGGGGCAGGGTCTCTGGTTGGAGATCTGTCTGTTGTGGACTTTTCCCTGTAAGTCTGCATCTCCAGAGATGGATGAGCACTTCTTTTCTTTTGTAACACCATTCCATTTGTGCTGGTCCCTTTGCTACTGCTCTCCTCTATTTTCTCTGTTGATCCTCTACTGTATTGACCTTTCTGATTGTCACAATCTGTTTTTAATTATGGAGGAATTTCTATGCATTTTGGCTCAAGTCTTCTATGCTACCATTTAAGCCTATTACATCTTGACTTATCCATTGTGGCCACAAGAAGCAGCTTACATCTGACCTCTTTCTCTTTGCAGCAGCCATTTATGTGCTTGAGAGTTCTTAACATATCCCTAGATTTCTTTTCTTTAGACCAGACACCCTCAGTCAGTCTTTCCTTTCTAGTCTTTAGTTTCTGATTGCTTCTGTTGTGCTCAGGGTTCCATTCAGTAGTTCTTTGTGTTCTCTCAGATGACTGCTCAGTTGACATCATGCTTCAGGTTAGTGTGGAGTGAAACCTTCATTTGTTTTAAACTCTAAACTGTAAGTACTTTGAGCAGAGTTGGGTTAGTATGAATGAATTTGAGAGTCTCGAATGTTCTGGAGTTGAGCTTTGAGCATAACTTTTCTGTCATGTCAGCATTGCTCCTTGACAGCTGGCCAAGGTTGTGTTTGTAACTTGCACCTGACACGAGGCAGGTTCTGGATATGTTAACTGTAAAAAGCACTGATGTTTGGTCTTTACCAATTTAAAAAGCAATCTGCAGGGAAAGCAGCAAGCTTTATTTTTATCTGAACGTGTATTTACAGACTGTCATGAATTTATCTCTTCTTACCACTTGTGAACATGCCTTTCTGCCTTCTACCAGAAGTCTTAGGCAGCTGTGATGAGAACCATTCCTACTTCTGCTTACAATCCACTTGTATCCCTTCATACCTCTGTGTTTTGTTTTGGAGGTTCAAGATGTTCAGTCCTTTGCCTTCAGCCCTGTGCATTCCTGCGTGAGACTTATGCCCTGCCAGTGTGATACATAGGAATTGCTGTCATTAGGTGGAACAGGTGCTTGTGCAAAGAAATCTTGAGGAGGGAATGATTTATTACTGATACATACTGATCAGGAAGAGAGGGTGGTTCCTGTGTGGCCCTAAGAGATTAATGAAGGGTTGAGAGGGTAAGGAAGCAAGGTGTGGGAGTTAAAAATCAGATGGGAAGTAGAGATGTAGGAGTTGAAGGACTTATGTGGTGTCAGGAAAGGGGCTGGTTCTTGCAGGAGAGTCTTGATTCTTTTCAAATCCTGTTTGCTTTCTAATGTTACAGCTGAGACAATCGAAAGAGCAGCTGCTACTGAAAAGCTAGTTATGGTGTCTCTCCTTTGTTTTTAATTGGTACCAAATGTGATGTTTGTGTAGCCCCTGTATGAATCGGTCTGAGGAGTTAAACTGGCAAGAAGTTATCAGGAAAGAAAAATGTCTCTGTTAGCTTGTTACCCCCATGTAATACGTGGTGGGATCCACCAAACAGGCAGCAAGACTGAGGTGTTGAGACAGCACTTCTCCTTGAGTTGATGCAGATGTAGCCTGAAAGCACGGCTGAAGACCTCAGATGATGGATGCATTTGTGTCAAAGAGCTTTTTCTGAAGTGCCAAACAAGAAAGCTCTCCTGTGAGTAGTTAAAATGATTAATAAAGAATTGTTCCCCAAGGCTGTGGATGGAAAATAAACCTTTCAGGCAGTCCTGAAACTGTTAGGTTGTAATTAAGTTACTGTCTGCAGAAAGTGGATGTACTCAGATAGCAGTGGGGCAGGTGCACTGCTGCTCAAAGCACTGCAGCAGTTTCCAGGATTCACAGACAGGACTGGGCTGCTGCAGAAATGATGGACAGCAGAAACAATCTGCTTATGATCTGATGACATAATGAAGTGTGCAACCTGTTCAGGTGTGGTGGTAAATAACTTGGAGAGCAGCAGGCAGTTGTTATTAATGACTAAATCTTAGATTAGGCTGTGCTTCAGGTCAGGTGTTTTTAGTGCTTCTCCTGACACAGGTTTTAATTCTCTCTGTGAATTATGAAACATGCAGACCAAGGACTGCATTCTTTTGTGCAGCACTAAGTGTGCCATCGGCACTTAAGTAGGAGTTTAATGCCTTCTCTTCTTGTAACTATCCAAAGCTGCCTTAGGGGTATTCTGATTAAAATGGGAGGAGATAAAGCCAGGCTTTCTGAAGTCTTAGAATGTGATTTGAAAGATGTTTTTAGTATTATTGGTTTTTCTTTTCCAGTGTGTTCAAATCCCAGAGTCTACTTCTGCAAGACAGGACTGCCCCCAAAACTCCTTGACAAGCCTTAATTCTTCAGACCACATCAGGGTAAGGAGGGGATCGAAGTAAAGGTAGGAATTTGAAACTCTGTGCCTCTGAGCTGACCTCACCTTCCAAGTCTGGGGCACCTTAGAGCTGCAGAGCTGAGAGGCGATGCAGGATTCTGTGGAAGACAGAGGTCAGCATCTGAAAGTCTCCTTTGCTTTGTTTACTCAGGGCAGAATGTCGGAGCTGAGCGATGAAGCCAGCGAGTCGGAGCTGCTGAGCCGCAGTCTGTCCATGTGGCACGGCGTGGGTCAGATGCTGTGTGGGGAAGAGCTGGATGTTCCCCTGGATTTGCACACAGCCTCTTCCATTGGCCAGTATGAAGTGGTGCAGGAGTGTATTCAATGGTAAGGAGGGGTTGAAGAGAGCACAGCTCAGCTATTCTCAGTGACTTAAGGTTTTTCTCTGTTGTTTTGTTTTGTTTTGTTTTTTTAATGCACTGGCGCAGGTTGCCCAAGGAGGCTGTGGATGCCCCATCCCTGCAGGCATTCGAGGCCAGGCTGGATGTGGCTCTGGGCAGCCTGGGCTGCCCCCCTGCACGTATCAGGGGTTTGGAACTGGATGATCACTGTGGTCCTTTTCAATCCAAGCCATTCTATAATTCAGCAATGCAGGTCTTTCTTTGCCGCAGGGGCAACCCTGTGGAACTCTGCATGTGTTCTTAGGCACAAAGTTGTGGAGGGGTCAAGGCTGCTGATTAAAAGCTCTCAGTAATTTGATGGAAGCTTCCAGAGCTGGCAGGAATTCCCATGCAGCCTTCAGTGCTGGATGATGTATTTTTAAGTCTTTTTTTCAGTATAGTGATGATAGTAGAGACTACAGGCACCTACTGCAAGCTCCAGGCCAGTAATTTAGCTCTCTTTTTTTTTTTTTTTTTTTTATTTAGTGGAGACGTGGATTTAAATAAGAAGAATTGTGGTGGCTGGACTCCATTGATGTATGCTTCCTACATTGGCCATGACACCATTGTGCACCTGCTGCTGGAGGCAGGAGTGAATGTGAACATCCCAACCCCAGAGGGGCAGACACCGCTCATGTTAGCCTCCAGCTGTGGAAATGAAAGCGTTGCTTACTTCCTTCTCCAGGTGTGTATTCTGTAAGAAATAGTTAAAGCCATGCTACATGGCTTAAATGCACAGAGTAGGCTTCTTCATCAGCTGCAACCACTGTGTTATTTGTTCTGTTGAGTCCAGCTTCCTGACAGGGATTTAAACTCTCTTGGTATCGCAGCACAGAGGGGCAGTGGCTAAGAGACCCAGCAGAGGGGATGCAGTAAAGAACATTCTCTGTTCTCTTGAAGCAAGGCGCAGAGCTGGAGATGAAAGATATTCATGGCTGGACTGCCTTATTTCACTGTACCAGTGCTGGACATCAGCAGATGGTCAAGTTCTTACTCGACAACGGGGCGAATGCCAACTGCAAGTAAGGAGGAATCTATTGCTTAATTTCTGTCAAGGGAGATGAGATTTATTGCTGGCTTAGTTGTGGGGTAAACTGAAAGTAAACAGCACAGCACCTTCTGAACTCATTTTGAAGTGTGCGGTGAATTCCTGTGACTTGAGATCTGCTGGTATGTTTATGCACATTAAATTGCCTAAGAACAGCAAGAGGTTCTTGCTTTGTTAGGTCCTGGGGTTTCCTCACTGAGAGGTAGGAGTGCAGCTGGAGGAATAGCCTGTTTCTGTAC